CTATCTATCTATCTATCTATCTATCTATCTATCTATCTATCTATCTACCTACCTACCTATCTACCTACCTACCTACCTACCTATCTATCTACCTACCTCTCTATCTCTCTCTCTCTCTCTCTCTCTCTCTCTCTCTCTCTCTCTCTCTATCTACCTATCTATCTATCTACCTATCTCTCTATCTATCTATCTATCTATCTATCTATCTATCTACCTATCTATCTATCTATCTATCTATCTATCTATCAATCATCTATCTATCTACCTATCTATCTATCTATCATCTATCTATCTATCTATCTATCTATCTATCTATCTATCTACCTATCTATCTATCTATCTATCTATCTACCTATCTATTTCTCTATCTATCTATCTATCTATCTATCTATCTATCTATCTATCTATCTATTCTTGTCATTTGACCGCTCAGTTCTCAAGTACGTATTTTATCAATGACAATAGCTGTCACCGTGTCAAAGATCATCCCTAGAAGAACATGGGAAGGGGAGGGAGGTGGAGGACTCCAAGGCTGCTAGCAAGAAGCGTCTAGGAGAAGTGGGCTGCAGGAGAATCCCTCCAGGGCCCCGTACCCAGCCAACCCCACTGGCTCCCAAGTTCACCTGTATGGTAAATAGGCCGGTGAGCATTTCTGGTCTAGAGATTTTTGAAGGCTGAATCTCAGTGCAGTTGTTGATTGTGTAGCACACTGAGGAGACAACAGAACTACTCTATCCTGCCCTGGGTCTCCATGGCCCAGGCAGCTGTGGAGCAGGAGATTAACACTTCCTGTGTCAGGCAGGGGTCAAGGTGTGTAACACCCACTCACAGAAAGGTGTCTGTGGACAGTGATGTTGCTGGGAGCTGTGGGAGACGGGAGCCTGGAAAAGACCCTCTGAGGGGTCCCCTGAGCAGAGGGTTTACCCCAGGGAAACCTCAGCTACTGACTGTTGAGCCCATGCCAGCGAGAGCTGGGCAGTCACCAAGCTGACTGCACCTCAGGACAAGCAGGGACAGCTCTTCCCAAGCCAGGTTGTGGAGTATAATACCCAAAGAGGCTCTGAGAAGGAGAAAGGGCTGAGGGAGGGGTGTGACTCAATGGTAGAGCAGTTGCCCAGCATCTGAGGTCCTGGGTTTGATTCTCAGCCCTGAAAACAGGAGGAAGGGAGGGGATAGGTAGCAATAGACAGACAGATAGACAGACAGACAGATAGATAGGTCTAATACAGACAAACACACAGTGTCTCACTATATAACCCAAGTTAGCCTCAAACTCATTGATTCCCCTGCCTCAGCCTTCCCACTGCTGCAATTATAGGCAAGTACTACCTCTCAAAACTAGGATGAGTCCTATAATGCCCTGAAGTGACTGTTACATGAAGCATGTTCAATAATATACCAGCTTGCCACCCGAAATTGATATCTTAATGTGGAATGACTTCAATATATTGTTTGTTTTAAGTAGGATCTGAGCATAGCCCAGGATGGCCTAGAACTCACTATGTAGCCCAAACTGGCTTTGAACTTTTTTCTAAATATTTATTTATTTATTTATTATGTATACAGTATTCTGCCTGCAGACCAGAAAAGGGCACAAGATCTCATTGTAGATGGTTGTGAGCCACCATGTGGGTGCTGGGAATTGAACCTGGGTCCCCTGGAAGAGCAGCCAGTGCTCTTAACCTCTGAGCCATCTCTTCAGCCCCTGGTTTTGACTTCTTGATCGTCCTGAATTATCTTCCTAAGTGGTGAGGCCAGGAATAAGAAAGATAGGCATTGACATGAAGAAGCCAGACAGTGATTACATACACTTTCAATCCTAGCACTCAAGAGGCAGAGGCAGGCAGACCTCTGAGTTCAAGGCCACCCTGGTCTAAAGAGCCAGTTCCAGGACACCCAGGGGTACACAAAGAAACCCTGTCTCAGAAAACATGCTGAAGAAATGGGGCTTCAAATATTTGTTTCTGGTAGAAAACCTGGTTAGAGGTGGAGTTCTCTCTGTCTCATTCCAGCTGAGGGCAGCGACACAATGGAAGGCGCTGTTTTAGTCACTGTTCCATTGCTGTGAAGAGACACCATGACCAAGGCAACTTCCAGAAGAAAACATTTAATTGGGGCTGCCTTACAGCTCCAGAGGCTTGGTCCATCATCATCATCATCATGGCAGGGAACCTGGTGACAGGCAGGCAGGCAGGCAGGTATGGGGCTGAGAGCTTTACATCCTGATCTGCAGGCAGAGAGAGAGCAAGAGACACTGGGCCTTGCTTAGGTTTTGAAACTTCAAATCTATCTCCAGGGACACCTCTTCCAACAAGGCCCCATCTCCTAATCTACAGCAGCCCAGGGAAGGCCAGCTCCCACAACAGTTCCAGGGGAGCAAAAAGAAATGTCTCAGATACCAAGGGCTTAGGAACAGTTCTTATCTATCTGAGGACTAGACTTTTTCTGAGAGGGAAAATAAGGAAAGACACAAGCTTTCTGATGGTAGATTTCTCTTTTACTTCATCTTTAAAATGCTCTCTGAGAATGTGTCTCCACACAGTTACAATATCTCCACATAATCACAGTTATATATTCCATTTACATAGCTCGTTCATTACACAGCACTTTACACAGTTCCTTCACTTCTCTCACACTCACACACACTCACACACGCTCATACACACTCTTTCTCACACGTGCACACACACATACTTCTACGTCACTCATTCTTTCCTTACTCACACTCTCTCTCTTCTCTCATGCTTCTTCATCTCTTACACACTCACCTGGCACACACACACACTCACACACACACTCACACACACTCACACACCCACTCTCACACGCACGCACACACACATATTTCTACGTCACTCATTCTTTCCTCGCTCACTCTCTCTTCTCTCATGCTTCTTCTTCTCTTACACACTCACCTGGCACACACACACACACACTCACACACACTCACACAGACACTCACACACACACTCATACACCCACTCTCTCACACACACACTCACACACACACTCACACACCCACTCTCACACACTCACACACACACTCTCACACACACACACACTCACACACACACACACTCATACTCTGCACACAGGGAAGCTCTCTACATAGCTCTCCACAGCAGCCTTCTTTCACAGCCAAAATCAGAACAATCATACGTTACATGTTCAGGGCCCGACTCATTCTCATAACACGAGATAAGTCACATAGTTTCTCTAAAATCAGGGAAGTCACATGGACCGGACAGTGAGTAACACTTGGTTATGTATGTAGCCTAAATTGTTAGAGTTCTCGGAGTTCCCAGACAGAAAGTGACATTGAAATTCAGGACTTTAACAATAAACAGTTAGTTGACTGAACCTTGAGGTTAGAATTATTTGCAGAAAGTCAAAAACCATAGAGGGTCATGTCTACCAAAGTTGCTTCATGCCTGACCTTGAATCAGCAATAAACACCTGGGAATTTGTCCTTGTGTATTCGTCTCCAGGAGCAACCAGTATGCTTTGAATGTGTTCTGAAGTCTAAATTTATCTGTCTCTGTGACTGAGAATGCTATTACTTTCCTATGCCAGTCTGAGTAGTGAAGAATATCTTAGTATTATTTCTATTCATCAGAATTAAACATTGAGGCAGGAATCATGTTCCTGACCATCCACAGCTATATATGTACCCAGAAGATGGAATATTTTCACGAGATAAACACACAGCAGAGGGAAAAAAACACCCATAGCAGTTCTTAGGGAAGAAAAACAGTTCTTAGTAAAGAAACACAGTTAGTTCTTAGGGAAGTAAAGAGGTGGCACATGAGAGAAATTGCAGACAGAAGCAATTGGCCATTTACAGTCAGTCAGTAACTTCACTAGTGGTCACCCACTGTCTACTCTCGGCTATCAGAACTAATCCTCCCCAAACAGTTTCACTGAATGGGAACTAAGCATTCAAACATAAGAGCCTGTGGGAACCTTTCTCATTCAAACCATCAGAGATGCATTCAACAGGCTTGCATAAAAGTAGAATTTGGAAGCAGGGGAGATGACTCAGATGGTAAGGTGATTGCCACACAAGCATCCTGAGTTCAGATTCTGGCACCTATAGGCACCAGCCTGCAATCCTGGAGGATTCCTGGGGTTTGGTTAGTCCCCCAATCCAGCTGAGTCAGAGGGCATCGGTTTCAGTGAGAAACTCTGTCTCAAAAACTGGGTGGAGATAATAAAGGAAACCAGCGCTGGCTACAGGGACATGCACGGCTGTCCTCACTGCTGCTCTTTCGTGTTATTAACCTGGGTGCTGAGGAGTCAAACTCGGGTGTTCACACTCACACAGTAAGCCCTCTTCCTCACTGAGCCGTACCCCTGCCTGCTAGTGATGTTTCCGGCCTGTTTGTATAACACCCAACCTTCATCAAGAGTTTTCTGTGTCCAGGTGTCAGTGTACAAGACCTGAAGACAAGGAGATGACCTCTGTCAGGACAGGAGCTCTGGGCCTGAAGAATCAGAGCAGTGTGGCGGCCAGAGGAGAGGAGGAGGAGAAGAGGAAGGATCAGAGCAAGGCAGAGCCTGCGGCAAAGACTCCTGTTCCAGAAAGTAGGGGCAAGATATTGACAACTACAAGGGCAGTGTTGACAAAGCAGAGGAAGAGGCCAAGGGCCACAGCAGCTGTTCCAGCCAAGGAGAAGGCAGCCCAGGTCAACCCACCCCTGGCCTCTTTCCCACGCCCCACCACCAAAAGAACTCAAAGGCTGAAGGCCTCTGACTTCAAGTCTGAGCCTCGGTGGGATTTTGAGGAAGAATACAGTTTGGATGTGGGGGGCCTGCAGGCGGTGAGTTGGGACCTCCTCACTTCCTCAACCTCCACACCCCACCCCCATCCCAAGCAGCCCCTTCCTCTAGGCTCAGCTTTCAGTGTTACCTTGGCCCACCCTGAGCTCGGCCCAGCACTGCTATTGGCCCAGCACGGCTGTTGGACCAGCCCACGTTCCTATGACAGCCAATCAGGGAGGAGAAGGCAGGTCCATACAAGGTCTGAATCACTCAGCAGGAGATGGGTGGGAAGGGTTTGTTTGCCTTGGAAGCCTTGAAGAAGGCCTGGGGCAGATCAGCAATCTGTGGGGACAGAGTGTGGCCAGTTCTGGAGTGTGGGACAAGAATCTTTATTTTATGGTCGTGGGACTAACGGACAAGAAGACAGCCTTTTGCCCAGCTGCTGCCCCCCACCCCCAGGAACATTGCCGTCCCTGGAAAGCTGAGTCTAGAACATTCTTCACTCTCCTCCAGGCTCAAGAAAATCTGCGGGCATTCAACCCCATGTCGCTTCCCTAACCTTTCTCACCCCTGCCCAGAAAGGCAATATGGAAAATCTGTTTGTGAATATACACAGAACAGGATCATTGTCCCAACAGTATAGTGGGCATACCACGTGTGTCCTCAGACTTACCAAGGTGTAGCTGGCTAGGGACTGAGCAGGACTGTTTTTGAGGGCCCATACTTGGAGAGTTAGGCAGCCAGACACGGGGTTCAGCGTGATAGAGGGAGGATGAGTAGGAGCTTTCGAACTGTAATGCCCAGTCCAGCCTATAACTGATGGTGCCCAGCCCATTCTCTGGCTGATGGTGCCCACTCGGCATCTGGCTGATGAGTTTTCTTGCCCCTCCCTCGCGTGACACATCCTCCCGCACATAGACCTGCCCCGACTCTGTGAAGATCAGGGCCTCCAAGTCACCGTGGCTAAAGAATATCTTTCTGCCCAACCTCACTCTCTTCCTGGACGGTGCCCACTTCACCCAGAGCGAGTGGGACCGTCTAGAGCACTTTGCACCGCCCTTTGGCTTCATGGAGCTCAATCAGTCCTGTGAGTCCTCCCTTCAGGGCAGAGGGTGGCCGGCTTCCTGTCCGGGCTCTGCTTCCTTCAGGGACTCTGAATGGAGCCCTGCTCTGTTCCAGTGGTCCAGAAGGTCGTGACCCGCTTCCCTCCCGTACCCCAGCAGCAGCTGCTCCTGGCCAGCCTCCCCTCGGGGAGCTCCAGGTGTATCACCTGTGCTGTGGTGGGCAACGGGGGCATCCTGAACGATTCGCACGTGGGCCAGGAGATAGACAGCCATGACTATGTTTTCCGGTATGTTCTCCACCTCCAGCCTCGTGCCTGTCCATAGGGACTACTATGGGAGAGCAGACAAGTGTCCCAGTGCTTTTATTTAGAAAGTGGAGTGTGTCTCCAACTCCTGCCTCCCCTGCCCCATCCTCTCTCACCCACCTCCGCAATTTTCTCCCCTCCATCCCTGCCATCCACTTTGGTCTTTCCATATAGACTGAGTGGAGCCGTTATTAAAGGCTATGAACAGGATGTGGGGACCCGGACGTCCTTCTATGGCTTCACTGCCTTCTCCCTGGTCCAGTCAATCCTCATACTGGGCAGTCGGGGCTTCCAGCATGTGCCTCTGGGACAGGTGAGAAGAGGGAGTGGGCATGGTCACACAGCCTCTGGGAAAGGTGAGAAGAGAGGAATGGGCGTGGCCACACAGCCTCTGCAGGGGGGAGTGACAGAGAGGTGAATGCCTTGTGTGTGGATGGAGTCTGGGTCGCCATACGAGGACAAGTCAGTGGGAACGGTCACTCAGGCCACAGCATAGCCAGGGGACAGTCTGGAACCGAGCGGGGCCACGCCCAGCCCACGGTCCCCAGCACAGCACTGCTGAACCACTTGCTGTCCTTGGTCTTCAGGACGTCTGGTACCTACACTTCCTGGAGGGCACTCGAGACTACGAGTGGCTAGAAGCCATGTTTTTGAACCAGACCATGGCCAAAACCAAACTTCACTGGTTCAGGTACCGCTTCCCTTCCTGACCCAAAGCCCAGGCCAGAGTGAGAAGTCACTGGCCGACTTGACAAGACTTAGACAGGTGGGGCTGTCTCTGTGCCACCTGGAGATGGGGTAGAGGTCACACCATGACCCCGTCCTGGCCCCCTCAGGCCGGGTAAGAGAGCAGGTCCTGAGTGATCCTTCCCTGACTCCAGGCACAGGCCCCAGGAAGCTTTCCGGGACACCTTGGACATGGACAGGTACCTCTTGCTGCACCCAGACTTTATCCGTTACATGAAGAACAGGTGAGGGCTGAAAGCCCACGGAGGGGCTGTGCCCTCTCGGCCTCGCTGTCTCCTGACAGTGGGCATCTGTGTATTTTGAGCAGGTTTCTGAGGTCAAAGACCCTTAATACTGCCCACTGGAGAATATACCGCCCCACCACTGGTGCCCTCTTACTGCTGACGGCCCTCCATCTCTGTGACCAGGTAAGGTTGTGGAGCTCAGCTCAGGGGTGGCTGAAAACCTCCAATGGGAATGGGGAGTGGGATGGGCATGCATGTGTCCCTGGGGAACCTGCATGCAGACCCCTGGGGACAGAACCAGGATAAAGGAGAAAGGGTCAGACTTCCCATGACAGAAGCCCAGGACACAGCCAGGGCAGTTTCAGCTCCTTCCCCCATCTCTATGCAGGTGAGTGCCTATGGCTTCATCACCCAGGGCCATGAGCGATTCTCCGACCACTACTATGATAAGACGTGGAAACGGCTGATCTTTTACAGAAACCATGACTTCCAGTTAGAGAAAACAGTATGGAAACAGCTTCATGATGAAGGCATCATCCGGCTGTACCAGCGTCCAGAGAACCCGAAAGAGAACTGACCAGCTCGGTTTCAGGACTCTCCTGATCATGCACACCATAGGGTGTCAGGGTTCCTCAGGTGTCCCCACCCATCTCCCAGGACTCAAACAGACTCCAAGCCCTTGAGGAGTCCCAAGGAACAGCTGTGAGGGGCCCGAGGATTGGGAGCCCTCTGGGAAGTCATTACTAACTCAATGCACATACATAGACACCAACAATTCATTTCAGGTGACTTTTCAAATTCTGTCTTCAAGATTTTGGGCTCTGGGACCTAAAATAACACTAACTGAGGCTCTCGGTAGTAAATGGGACAAAACAAAACAAAATGAAAAAACAAAACAAAACAAAGTAGCAAACAAAATATCCACAAACAATACAACCTTCTTTTAGACTTAATGCCCAGTAGGTCTGGGGTTTGCGGCTCCAGTGGACACTTGCTTCTCCTTGTGAAGGGAAGAGGATTCACAGACAAGTGTGATTCCATGGAAATACGGGATGGACAGAGCTGCGACCTAGCATTGGAGTGTTTTACCTGGGCAGGGCTTCTGCAGAGTGGAGCCAGCCCAGAGCTCCAAAGCACAATTGGGTGCAGGGCTGAGCAGGACGAAGTGGCCTAGAGCAATGCAAGGGGCGAGGGCAGCCCGAGATGCACCTGGGCAGGACACAGGGCATTGCCCCGAGGTGGCCTCAAGGAGGATGCCTGAAGGATGCATCTGCCCAGGGTTGCCCCTTTCCCTGTGTTCTGTTCTGAGCAGCTCTCGGACCAGCAGGTGGTGTTGGGAGAGGGTGCTGTGGAGACCACCACCACCCCTTCTCAGATCTGCAGAGCAACAGTTGCTGCCCCTGCTGCCCTGTCACTACAGTTCTGGGGGGCTGCTCTTCCAGAGGTCCTGAGTTCAATTCCCAGCACCCACACGGTGGCTCACAACCATCTGTAATGAGATCTGGTGCCCTCTTCTGTACTGTAGGATACATGCAGGAAGAACCCTGTATATATAATAAATAAAACTCTTAAAAAAAATAAAAGAACAAGAGAGGTAAGTAGAGAGTGTTCTGTGACGGCAGGGATCTTTTAAAGGGTTGGCGACTTATGATAACCTAGGTAGCTGCTGGCAGGCTGAGTTACTGAGGGAGACTGCAAGGGAGCCTGGTTTCTAACTTTCCTCCCTTTTGCTTATTATAAAAGATGAGGAAACAGGAAGGGGTGATGTTGAGGCAGGAATGGAGGTACCATGCTCTTTAGATGGCTTCTTCTTGTCTTGTGGGGAGGGCTTTGACATCTCTGGGGAGCCAAGAAAACTAGGATGTTGGCCAAGTCTTGGAAGAGCAAGATGTTTCACTTGCTATCCAGGCTCTACAGGACCGGATGGGGCTAGGGAAGTACAGGCAGTAATGTGGGACTGGGACCACCAGGGGCGAGTAGCTTTGAAGCTGTCTGGGATGCAGGTCTTGAAAAAACACCTGGACCTGGCAGGATGCTGGAACATATATATATTAGGGACATTTGAAACTTCTGCAGCCACTTGAGGAACTGTGCCATCCCTGCCTGGGACTGGCTGCTCTTCGGACCTGCTGTTTGCTTCCCACTGCCACATGGCCTACTGCTGCTGCTCTGGAACCCGCAGCATTTCTGGTGCTGCAGCTGCCAGGGTTCTTGGAGCATTTTTATTTTTACCATTACATTGGTACCGTGAGCCTTGGGAGGCTCTTCCACTGTGAGCCCCTCTCCTGGGGTTGGAATATGGAACCAGGTATTTTTTTTTTTAATAGAACAACCACGTGTTCCATATGCCTGAACGCAATTTCTACAGCATGATTTCTATGCACACCACTGGAGTCAATTGGTTAGTTTCTCCCATTCTGGTCAGCTTAACTGTTTCTCCGAACTTGAGGAATTGACTGGCGAGCTCCTGGCAATCTTCTGGTGTTCCTTGAAATGGGGGGACAGCCCCCAACCATGGATGATTGAGCCCTTCGCTGACATTCATCTCTGGATTGCTTCCCTTAGCTAAAATTGTGTTTGGAATGGCCCTGGGCTGATCCACTTTTGACTGGAAACTCAGGTCCCTCAGATTTTTCTTTTTCTTCCTTTTCTTTTCATTCTATTTTTTTCCCTTGCTGTAAAAGGCTCCTCAGAGTGGCCTCTGGCCTCTCTGGCTTCCGAGTCACCTGAACGAGATCCAGCCAGACCATAACATCCCACTCGTGGGCGGGGATGCTCTCCCATGGGTCCTGCAATGTTTATGCACAGATTCACACCCTGCCCACAGCAGAGAGATGTCTCCCTGTAGGCCTTGTGGTATTGTCATTTTGTGGGTTTTCACAGTTTCAGCTATGGGTAACAAGCCATCCATGTCCACCTCCCACCCCTGGGATGGATGCCTTTTAGCATCCCTAAAATCCCAGGCCTTAATACCCTACTTCTTCCGCTCCTACTGTCACCCTCTAAGTCCCCAAACAACAGTAGTACAGGGAGGGACAGAAATCTGAACCATCTTTTATTCTTTTATATACCTTAAATCACTTTCATGTCACAACCTAAGCTTTCACATCCTCAGATCTTTACACCTTGCCCTTACACACCTTAAGTCATAGCTTGTATTTACACACCTTGAAACACCTTATCAGACATTTTCTCAATCCTTATGTAAATGCTTGCCCTTTTTCTATCCATCATTCACTGAGAGACATAGGCTTACTGTTAACAGTCACCGAAACTGAGTTCCTTTAAATAAAGTATGACATTGGAGATATAGAGAAGTTGGTAAAGCAGACAGGAGAAAGAGGAAGAGGGAGAGGATATGGAGCTTTTGGCACAGGGGAGTTGAGTACGGTGATGAGACTTTTATTCTTCTGGAACTGGAGAAAGAGTGACTGATCTTGGTGTCCTCTGGAACTTAAGGGAGCAGGGCCCTGTTTGCGTTACCGTGTACGAGGGGGTATCTTGAACTGGAAGAGTAAAAGGTTTAAGGTGAGACAGGTGGATGAGAGAGTCCTTCAAGCTTGACAGCTGTGGGAATTACAAGAATTAATTTAAAGGGGCCCTGCCATTTAGGGGGAAAAGGTAAGGGGTGTTGGTCTTGGCAGGGGAGAATCCTGCCTGATCTCCTACTTTAATTGGCAATGGGCAAGAATTGACCCATGGTTGATGTAATGAGTAGTCGGTAAAATCCCATGATATGGAGCGAAGATGGGATAACAGCGGAGTAAGCAGGTGATCAGGAAGAGGAGAGATTTTAGGGGAGAGGCCGGGGGTTAAAACCAGCCACCCATACATCAGTTCAAAGGGCGAGATGGAAAGGGGGTTTTGGGGATCCCTAAGCCAAAGAAGGGCCAGAGGCAAAAGTTTTGTCCAGTCAAGGTGAAGCTCCTGTGACATCTTAACAAGAACATTTTTTTTTTTTTTTAAGGAACCGCCAATTCATTCTACCTTCCCTGAAGACTGAGGGTGGTGTGGGATGTGAAAATGCCAGGGAATGTTAAGAGCCATAGATAAAGTTTGAGAGATCTGGGAGGTAAACTCTGGGCCATTATCCAACTGAAGAGACGTCGGGATTCCAAACCTAGGGATAATTTCTCGGGGAAGAACATCGGAAACTGTCGGGGCCCTCTTGTTAGTAGTGGGGAACACTTCAGTCCGCCCAGACGTGGTGTCCACCAAAGCCAGGAGATACAACTCGTCTGACTTTGGGCATGTGAGTAAAATCAAGCTGCCAGTCAGTTCCTGGAAGGGAGCCTCTGGCCTGGTGGGTGGAAGAAAGGAAGCTGCGATGTTTGGTCTTAGGATCTGACTTTTGACAGATTTTACAAGAGGCAGTGATAGCTTTTAAGACTTAGCGCAGTTCTTAGGGGTGGGGTGGAGGTGAGCCTTGACAAAATGAAACAGAGCTTTGTTATTAGAATGAAAGAGCTGGGCTTAAATTCCTCCATCTCAGCCGGGGCGGGCACCGCGTGCCGGGGCAGGCGGTGAGAGCAAAGGGGCGGGAGTCCCTTTGTTCTGATAGCCGGCCTGCAGCAGCTAAGACCGCAGGCAGGGACTCTTCTGACCAGCGAGGGGCTCTGATCCTGTGCAGGGGTAAGTGTGTGGACCGGTGAGGGGACACACAATATTCCCGCCATCCTTATCTCCCTGGCTACTCCAAAGGGGCAGCTTCCCCCAGCTAATCCCTCTCTCCTGCTACGCCATCCCAGCTTTTGGCCTCGAACCCCTCCCCTCCCCTCTCCCTTTTTCAGGGCTTAAATTCCTCCATCTCAGCCAGGGTGGGCACCACGGGTCTGGATAGGTGGTGAGTGCAAAGGGAAGGAAGTCCCTTTGTTCTAATAGCCTGCCTGCAGCTAGCTAAGACTGCAGGCAAAGTGATTCCTGGATAGCAAGGGACACTAATCCAGTAGAAGAAGACCCAGCAGAGGGAAGAGCCATTGGAGAGCATCTGAAGGAAGAGATGGGCAGGCGCCAAGGCAAGAATTCCTCCAACAATCTGAAAAACAACATGAAATCACCAGATCCCAGCGATCTTACGACAGAAGGACTCGAACGCCCTATTCCGGAAGAAGTGGAAAACAGTGTCATTATGAAAGCAATAGAGTCTCTAAAACAGGGTATGAATAACTCACTTAAAGAAATAGAAGAGAAATATAACAAAAAATGGAAGAAATGAGTAAAGAAATGGAGGACAAATATAACAAAAAGTTTGAAGAAATGAGTAAATTCGTAAATGATACCCTGGGAAACCAAGAAAAAGCAATCAAACAGGTAATGGAATCAGTGCAAGAATTGAAAACTGAAATGGAGGCAGTGAAGAAAACACAAACCGAGGGCCGGCTGGATATGAAAAATCTAGGTAAACGAACGGAGACTACAGAATCAAGCTTAACCAATAGAATACAAGAGATAGAAGAACGAATCTCAGATTATGAAGACACCATAGAGAAAATAAACGCCCTGACCAAAGAAAACAGCAAATTCAACAAATTCTCATCACAAAACATTCAGGAAATATGGGACATAATAAAAAAACCA